AAAATTTTCGAAAATAATGGTATATATACATACATAACTGAGAATACAAAAAGATCAGGAAATCCCAAAGACGCACAAAGCAGATGGAAATCAGAAAAGTGCGCGTAAGGAAGCCCTGCTGGGATGCCCTTTTTTCTCGCACTCGTTGGACTAGCAGCTGCGATGTCGAATCGAATCGCAGACATTGCGAGCTAGACAAAGACAATTTGAGATGTTCTACAACCTGTGTATCAGTGGGTACGAGATAGAAAGAGAAGGATATAGAAAAAAAATATACATACCTAGCTATAGGAGAAGAGCTGCTCTCAGTGGCTACATGTTGGAGTCTTTGAAAAACCTGTATATCCTTGATGATGCCTCTATATCTTCGATGTCCCCAACATAAGGCACATTGTAAAGAGTTCGAAAAAATTTTAATTTAATAACTGTACATCCATATTACTTTAAGAAAAGTTTTAAAAAATTATCTCTGATATTCAAATATAATTTAACACAAAATACATAATGATATTTTTCCTCCATAGGAAACCAAGTTATTAATAATACTTTGATTTAAAATGTTTTACCAACGTCCAAGTGAGAACTCAGTTGATCAAAGTTTTTTTTTTTTTAATTGATCATAATAATAATAATAATAACTTCTGTGCAATGTGTGCAAAACGATGTATCAATCACTTGTAAATATTTATCCCAATTTATTCCAGAACATTGATTAAGGAAAATTCTTTGAAAGATGACGCCCTCTTTTTGAAACAATGAAAAACCTAAGCCTCAAACCACAACCCTTGCTACCCATAGATAACCCTATTGACGATCGATGCCTACGACAGACTGAAAGAGGACGAGGCTGAGCTGTCGATATCACGGCTCCTGGAGCACGTGGGGCTCCGTCCCCTGACACGGGCCAGCGAGCCTCTTCGCTCCGTCGATCAAAAGATCAGTGGCTGGGGCACTCGAGTGCTGGAGCGTCAAACGAGTTTACAAGCGGAGCATCGGGCCGTGGAAGTGCAAGCGGAGCGTGACCAGCTGCACCGGATACACGAGGCAGGTCTCGCCTCGGCCTTTGACGCGCTCGAGAAGACTTCCTTTATTGCCCGGACGAGCTCCAAGGAATATAAACTGACCAAGGTGGAGGAGCTACGAAATGAGATGAACCGGAGCGAGATGGGACCGGAAATTTGTCGGACTTTGGATTGGGGGGCTGGTTTTACGGTGAGAGCTTGGGTGACTTTTCCTTATTATTATTTTTTTTTTTTTAATTTGGGTGAGTTGTCCGTTCGTTGGGTCAATTCGTTTAAAGTCTGTTGGAAATGAGTGAGGCATTTTAGGATCACAAAAGGTAACGCCAAGTTAAAAATTTGTGATTTTTTTTCTGAAAATAGAACATAATATACTTTTATGAATAACCTACATGGGTGTCCTCGTATACACCTGTAGTAACCAAACACTTTAACGCTTAGAGGGGAGCTATTCGGCTTCCCTTTTCCTGGTGTAAGTGCTCCCTAAGGCACGATAAACAGATGTAGAGTTTTTGCAGTAGCACGTTTTTGCCTCATTAATCTCTGATAAATTTGAATCTTCATGGTGATGACGAAGTGTTAAATGATTCTTTTTCGGTTAGCATTTTTTGCATGTATTTTAACTAAATGCTTAGCGAAATAGGATTAGTGTTATTTTGCCTGTATAGGTCCATTTAATCATAGTGCGGCTGACGTGTATGTCTCAATGAAAAATGAATTATTGCGATTCATCGTTTTACTTGAATGCAAAATTATTGTGTGTACTTTGATTTCCTACACTTATCGGCATATTTATGAACAGTTGTTGCAAAATTTCGATTGTACGGTATTCTTTGGTATGGTTAACTGAATTTCTTTTTTTTATACATATTTAATGAAAAAAAAAAAAGGTCATGATAGTCAATGTTATACCTGCCACACCTAAGTTTGTCTCCTGTTGTGAATGAAGCAAATCTGTGATTAAAAAAAAAATTTTCCTTACTCTCGTTTCAGAATGTTTTCAATCAACACGTGAGAGTTCAAAGCATAAGAAAAGAATGCCTTGAAAAGGCCACGTCCAACATATCACTAGATTCTGCAGCTTCGTCGTTTATTGATGCTTCAGAGTGCACGTCCGCGTCTTATAAATCGGAATCGTCGTTTTTATTAAAAAACTATCGATTTGATCCAAGTGGACGAATTTTTGTTTAAAATTACTCACAGTTTTCTAGCAATCACAAATTTAATGTATATTGCATTTAACAAATAAACTAGAAAATAAAAGATAAAAATAACGTAAACACTCCGTGAAATGTTTTTTGTGTATCGAACAGTGAACCTGCATGACGTTTGATTTTGACAAAAAAAAATAGTAAGACCTGAGTTGTCATCATATAAATAGCGATTACAGTATTTGCAAGTTTTTACTGATGTACTAAAACTCAAGATGAAGAATAAAAATTGAAAACTCCATAAGATTGCGACAGTGAAAATTATCTCACGAAATATCATTTGCTTAAGTTGCAATAAAGTTTATGCTACATAACTCTACCTAATAACATTGGGTATTTATCAAAGATATTAGGTATGTATTTATTGCACTATTCAAACAGTTTTGTATCACATCCAACAAAACTTATTTCTTGTGCAACAAAACGAATCACCGATAGATCTGTTAACGGAGATTTGTTATCCTTATGAGTCTTGTCCAATATCATATGGTATGTAACAATGTAATCAAAGTTTTTTTTCAGAATAACTCAACGAATTATCAACTTTCAAAATCACAGCTACTGAAACGGTTTTTTATGTCATTTGTAAAAAAACTACTGGCGAAAACCAATACATAAGAAACAAAATAAAACTATAAAAATATATA